ACGTAAACATAGGCCCATATATGCAATATACTGATTTATAAATGATTGATTTTGTTTATACTGTTTTTACTGCGATTTTTGTATTCACTTGTTTAATAAGATGTTCAAGTTGTTTTTTGGGGGTTTTTTTTACAATAGCGTATATTTTGTTATTTCTTGCAAGTTTCCATTTCACGCGAAGTGCAATAGCGTATACTTATAATTGAATATTTTGTTTATTGACATAATCAATAAAAAAGAATACTGATAAAAACAAAAGAACTCAGAGAATAACAATAATGAAGGTGGTGGTTTCATGGAGAAAATTGTACCAGGTGGAGTGCACAGGAGAGAGGTAATGTGGAATTGAAATTGACGAGATGCAGGATTATAAAATAGCTTTACACTCCTTTTTAATGACTAGCAAACCATTTCTGTTTTCAAACTATAATTTGCTGTTTTATTATGACTAAAACCTTTTTTTTTTTATTGATTTACAAACTAGTGAATCTTTTTTTTATTATGAATAGCGACCCCTTTTTTATTATGATTAGCGAACCTCTTTTTTATTATGAATAGCGAACCTCTTTTTCATTATAAATAGCGAACCTCTTTTTGTTATTATGAATAGCGAAACTCTTCTTATATTATGACTAGCAAACCTTATAAATAATGGCCCTTTATTTATTTTATGAGTAGCGGACCCTTTTTCTTGATTATGACTAGCTAACCTTACTCCTTGTGGTCCTTTTATTAAATTATAACTAGTGACCCCTTTTCATGATTATGACTAGCGAACCTCATGAATAGCGGTCCTTATTTTTTATGAATAGCGAACCCTTTTCTTCATTATAAATAGCGACTCTATGGTATAGGTTAAGCTAATGTTATGAATAACGAACCTTATGAATAGCAAACCTTATGACTAGCGAGTTTGATCCGACTCACTACAGTTGATCAAATTTATTCAGTACCCAATACCAGCGAATATACTCGTCCAAATATCATTCATCGAAACTTTGTCATATCATACAAAAAAATAGCCCACAAACGACTAAAAAGCAGAAGAACCTTCATCTCAGCTCTGTTTACCTTCACTTTGAAGCCAGTGGTGATGATAACCTTTACTATAAACATCCTATAATTCCAATATATGTTTTAATAAAGAAATCTAAAATAATATAGGGTTTACAAAATTCAACTATTGAAAGAATCAAATGTCACACAACCAACTAAAAAGCAAAAAAAGAAGCAGCATATAGCTTTGCTAAACTAGCACATGAGGGCAACTTTTACTATAAAATATTATTCCTATAATTCCAATATAGTTTTTAATAAAGAAATCTACAAAATGCAACAACCGACAGCATTTTTACAACACAAGTTGAGACACGTTCAACATGACGTCACTGTTTGGCTTATCTATAAGACAATTATGACAAGACGAAACTGATTACATAATAGTTGATCCTATTTTGTTCTAAAGACTTGTCTACACCTACTGCATTTGATCGATTTTATTGAGGAAATAATACTGGTATGCTTATACATCATAGTTAGGAAAAAGTTAAATATAGGGTTTTGAATTTAGCTAGGGTTATGGTATTTAGTTGTAGTCATGTTTAAAATAATTTGGGTTAAACACACCTGCTCTATATAGGGTTGGGTAAAGCACTGTTCTAACAATGAAATAGGGTTAGGGTTAAAACCCCTACACTAAAAATAAAATACGGTTGGGGTTAAGTACTCTGCTCTAACAATGAAATAGGGTTAAACACCATGCTCTAAAATGGAATAGGGTTAAGGTTAAGCACCCCTGTACTAAAAATGGAATAGGGTTAGGGTTAAACACCCCTGTACTAAAACTGGAATAATAATTTAAACAACCCTGCTCTAAAAATGGAATAGGTTTAGGGTTAAACACCCCAGTACTAAAAATGGAATAATTAAACACCCTGCTCTAAAAATGGAATAATCGTTTAAACGCCCCTACTCATAAATGGAATAGTCCTGCTCCTCATTTTATGCAAATTAAGGTCACGTGATGCCAAATGCAGGCTTCTGATTGGTCGAGAGCCTCCAAAATATGGTTGAATTTCCCTGAACAGACCCTATGCTCTAATGATTTGGTCTCATAATACGCAGATTACATGTATTTTAATTAGCTGTAATGGAATATTTTCTCCAAAAATTACCAGGAAAATTTTATTACCAAAAAACACCTGTTTTTATGGCAAAACATATTTTTTTACAATTTTCTGATTTTCAAGGCTATGAAATGTTATAACACATGCAAATGAGCTAAAGTGACATTAATAAATCACAAACATACATATACAGTG